CCTTTAGGATTTGTATAGTAATTGAAAGAGAATTGCTAACTTTTATAAAGAGCCCTCAACTTTCGGATTATTTGGTTCCAAAATTGAACTTTAACTTACGGTGTTTTTTTTGTAGATTCTCGAGCTTCGTTTATTTCGCGACAAATTAATGATTTGGAAAATATTTTTTTATAAACAATCACATGTATTGCTTGAAATAATTAGTCAATTAAAAATGTTTTCATCATCGGTAACAATAAATGTCTAAATATTTTCATGGACAATAGAAATATTTTTTGTCCATTTATTTTTGTAATCGACACAAGCGATTTTTTTTTTCCGAAAATATTTTCCAAATCATCGTGAAACAAACGCATCTTAATATAGTCTTCGACTCCACTCCACTTTTCTTTTTCTCTTTAAATAAACTAACCACGCGGGAAACGGACCTTTTCTTTTCTTATTTTCCATTTTCTCCACCTTTTTTTTTCTTGTCTGGATGAAAAAATTCATTTAAACATAAAATAAAGGATTTATGAAAATGGAAGTTATTTCACCCCGACAGGTCAACAGCACAGTCGAAATTTATTATGAATGAAATATTGTATTTCGTGTAAAGATTAGGGATAATGACACAAAGAATTCTTGAACTTTGGCTTAATGTGCAATGTGGTTCTTGAACTATTAATTTGTTCAATATAGCTCATGAACTTTAATTCAATATGTAATATGGTCCATGAACTTTTAATTTATTTAATGTGATCCTTAGACTTTTTGTACGTATTCAACTTAGTCCCTAAACTATATGAAAATGACAACATCGAACATTTTCATATAATTCATGGACTAAATTGCACATGTATCAAAATTCTATGGACCATATTGAATAAATTAAAAGTTCATGGACCACATTACACATTGGACTATAATTCAGGAACCACATTGCACATTAGGCTATTTGTTAGGGGTGTGCAATTAGACCAGGTTTACCCGAAAACCAGATTGGACCACCCGAAAAACCGGTCTGGGAATCGATTCCATTTTTTGGGAACCGGTTGGAACCACTCCGATTCTCGATTCCAAGTGAAGACCCATCCGGGGACTGGATTGGTTTTGGAGCCGACTTTTAGCTAGTTATAAAAATATACTATTATTATATTTTGGATTGTTATTTTTTGTAGATAGTAATTTTAATTGATTATCTTAGGGATTGTTGCTTTTGGCGAATAATGATTTTTATTATTCATCTTTTACTTTGAATCGTTTCATTACTACTCATATTATTTTACTAGAAAAAATGAAACCACAAAAAGGAACAAAAGAAAAACAGGTTTTCGGGTAGACTCTAGAATTTTTCGGGTAGTAATGAAAAACAAGGTAGGTTTCAAAATAGGTTCCAGGATAAATATGCTAGGTTCTAAATTCTAGGTCTTACTAACTTTAGAACCAATCACCCTTAATATTTGTGTTATTTTTCCTAAAGATTACTCGAGTGAAGTGTCCGTACGCAAACGCTACATTAGAAAAAGAAATTATAAAATAATGTTTTTTTTTAAAAAGGGGTGGAAGATATCATATGGTCTAAAATAATGCCAACTGTCATTTTGGAGGGGTGCGGAGGATCGAAAGTTTAATAATGATTGGGTCCACAAGACAATTTTTTTTGAGGATGCACGTGCATGTCCTGGCAGAAACAAAGGCAATTGGACAGTGACTTTACACGTGGTACGACCCGCCATTCATAATTTTACCCACGAGGGCATCCTTGTTAACCCACGGCCCCTCCTAATGTGCAAATGTACAGTGTGGTCCTAAAATTATTGACCATGTCAGTTAAAATAACGAGTTAATACCACGAAAAATTTTAAATTAATATTTGTGTGATAAATTTATTCTAAATTAAGTTTTTAACCATAAAAAACCTCAAACGGATACGTTCGTGATAAATTTACCCTCCGTTAAATTGGACTAATACAAAAAAAAAATCACAAACTAGTAAATCTGTGACAAACGGAGGGTAAAATTTCAAACTGGTACATCTGTTAGATGCCACGTGTTATTTGATTCAGCAATTTGACAGTAAAGTTAACTGAAACTAACGGAGAATAAATTTATCAATTTGGGGTTTTGGGATAAATTTGTCTCAGGTGTACTAGTTTGAGATTTTTCGCGGTATTAATCGTAAACTAAAAGGTTTAATTCTATCGAATATCCCAAACCAGTACATTCATGCTGAACCTACTCCCGACTAGTTCTTGTGTCATGAAAAATCCTAATTTGGTCCAACCGCCCCACCTTTACCAACAAACTAATTTCCACGTCATGGGAAATCTCCAAAATCTTAGAACGGGAAATCGGCTAAAGTCTGCTAATTTTAGTTGTAAGAGCTCCATCAAGTTTCTTTATGATCCACTAAAGCCCTCATGATTTTTTGCAACGCGAAAATTATTCTAGGGCTAGATATGGCATGGATATGCCGGTTTGTGATTCTTTATGACACTAAAGTTAGTTAGGGGTAAATGTGGCATCGGTGTACCGGTTTGGGACTTTTCGCGATACGAGAATTAGTTTAGGATAAATGCGGTACCAGAGTATCAGTTTGAGATTTTTTGTGATATTATCCCAAAATAAAAGATAGATTGACATTGTCAATTTTTTGAAAAAGAAGTCAAATTTGTAGAAATATGAAAGGAATTTCTTGTAATTAAATAATATCTGCCAATACTACTTAGTAATTAATCTAAGAATTCAAAATCATATGTGTTCCACGACTCCGATTGTTTCGCGGAAAATGAAAATATTTTCGTGGACGCTGAAAATATTTTTTGTTCATTCATTCTTATAAGCGAAACAATCGATTATTTTTACGAAAGTATTATTCAAATTATTCATTTTTCGCGGAACAAACGGAGCCTAATTTGGAGCACCTTGGTGAAAGCTGTTTCGCTCGGACTTCTCTTCTCCTCTAATTAGGATGGAAAATAGTAAATATTTTCGAAATTATAATTTAAAATATCGTGCTATCTGACCAAATAGAGAACGAAAACGTAATGCGACAAGTAGTCCAAATCGACACACAAAGAGAGAGATATGTATGACAATAGTAATATTATTAATTAAGGGGGAGAAGACTGACCTTATTAGCAGCATGTGGGGATGGTATATTCTCATGCACGGAATCAAGAACTAAACGGGATACGTTGATGCGTACGTCTTGAATTATTATTATTATTATTATCATTATTATTAATTTAATCACTTATGACCCAAAACTATGATATAGTCATGTGATTGGGTAATCTTCTCTTTTTTTCTTTTTTCTTTTTTCCCCCCTTATATGTATGTTATCTCGGAGAGGATTGTTCTTTTTTCAATTCAGGAGATAATTTGGATATGTCAAAACCACCGTGATTTCGTAACGCTCGGAAACACGACGTTACGAGTTCATTGTAATCCCTTTTTTTGACCGGACCCACGAAAGATGTAGTTCCTCGGAAATGCAATTTGGACACGGATGGTTTATCTTCGATTGCGTGAGACGGGATGAATTTCGTAATATGTATAATTTATTACAGGCACTTTGTATTAACAAAAGAATAGTTCTTCTTATCGCTTTGTCTGACTAGAGGCAAACGATCTGCCCTCGAGCTAAGAGACTCGAGGATGATCATCTTCTCTACACCCCGACACCACGGAACTACTTCGAGACGATACAAGCGGGATCACAACCATGCTTTCATGTTAAAAAAAGAAGAAGAAGAAGACACGACCCATATAGGGTCGAATAAGCGAGATTAATCGTTTGGCATAAATATGGTACACTTTATGATCAATTCGTCGTCTCAGGGGACACGCTATTTCTATCCCGTGGGGTAGATTGCTCACTGAATGCATGTAGGATGGTACAAACACTCGTGTATTAGGAGTAAACAGTTCTAGATTCCGTACAAATTTCACCCGAAATCTATAATTTACCTGTTGGAATAGGTTTCTTATTTTTTGAAACTTGGAATCTACCTTGCATACCCTTGAATTTGGAACTCGGAACCTATTTTGTCATAAATTCCAGGGTCTATTTAGGTTCCACCTGTATTGTTAATTGAACGATTGTAGCAAATCATCATATTTTATGACCATCATTTACTACTACAATCCACTGACCATAACTTATATGAAACATTAACAAAGTAAAAGTTTCGATCATAAAATGGAAATTCAAACTAGTGGTTCCAGATTATACACTCATTATTGAATGCCGTGGAATACCGTAGAATCACGCAAAGTCATAAACTAAGAAAAGCACAAAAACTTATTCCAGGTTCCACATACCCAGAATTTGAAATCTACCCGTCGAAACAGGTTTATCAATTTTTAGAACCTGGAACCTGCACTGCATACTTTAAAACTTGGAACCGAACGGGCTCCCATCGATTCGGTTCTCAGGTTCTAGGGTGCTCACCCCTACCGTGTATCCACTTCTGGAACCTGAGAACCGAATCGATGGGAACATGTCCGGTTCCAGGTTCATGCTCACCCCTACCGTGTATCCATCCAGATCAATCGAGTCGAAAGTCCCCGGGAGCCGCCTGCCCGCCCGCCCTCCCTAAAAAAAAAGGGCAGTCAACCCAGTCACATCATTAGAAAAAAAAAACGGATTTATGACGTCAGGAACGATCCCCCAAGCGAATTTAATAAAGAAAACCGAACCAAAAAAAACAGAAGAAGAAGAGGGAGGGAAAATACAGGGGAGCCAACAGCATATGCTAACACAGCTGCCGAATCGATACCCCCTGGCAAGAGAAGGAATATCCATTTGTCCAATGGCCGAGAGAGAGAGAGAGACAGAGACAGAGTCCTCCTCAAAAGCCTCTCAGATTCCTCCCATCTTTTCTCTCTCTTCCAAACTCAGCCAACTGTGACTTTACCCTTCCCAAATTTAATCATTCCTCCCCCCCCCCCAAGGGCAGGCCTCCTATCTCTCTCTCTCTCTCTCTCTCTCTCTCTCTCTCTCTCCTCATTATATAACACACCCCAGCATGTCCCTTTCTCTCTCCATACCCCCAACTCTCTCTCCTCTTTCCCTCCCTCCTCACCGCCCCTGCCCCTGCCCTGCTCCTCCTCCTCCTCCTCCTTGTTGTTCGGTTCCCTCCGCGAGATCCAGACCCATTAGCCTGTTCGCTCGGCCCGCGAAGCCAGAGGGTTGGGGGAGCAGCAGCAGCAGCAGCAGCAGCGGCAGCCGGAGGAGGAGGAGGAGGAGAGAGGTTCTTGCCAGGATGACCATCAGCGAGCTCAGGAACGAGGAGGAGGAGGAGGACAAGGAGGAGGAGGAGGAGGAGGAGGAGGAGGAGGTCCCCCCTCCTTTGCTCGATTCGGAGAACAACTCGAGGCCTCGCCGGATTGCGCTCTTCGTCGAGCCTTCCCCTTTCGCGTGAGTCTTTCCTTACTTGGGTTCTTGCTGCGCGGGGGGGTCGGTTCTTGAAATTTTTCTCTTTTTCTCTTTTTTGGGGTCCCGATGGACCCATCTTGCGTTTGATGAAATGACGAGGTGACGGGTGGGAAAAAGCGGTTTTGCTTTGGTTGAGCCGTGTCGATCTTAGATTCGATTTCTCTGCACCCGCGATGATGTGTTTCGTTTTTTCGTTTACTTATTTATTGGGACACGTCTGGCTGGAGCTTCGGTGATTTCGGGTGTTGTTCTTCGGAACGAAGTAGTGCTTTTACTTGTCCTGTCACCAGCATTGGGAGAGTATTTTATCGCGGTGTTCCGGCTGCTGTCTGATGTGATGTTTTGTTTGGCTTGGCGGTTTCTTTGAGATGGGCTGATTTTAAAGATGTAATTTTTATCTTGAAAAAGTTTTCTTTGCAATTTTTGGTTAAGACCATCCGTCCTTTTTGCGTAATTGTGATTAGTGCGGGAGGATTTTTCCCCCATTGAACTGGATTGGCCTCGCAATCATTCAAGTGTTTTACCCTGAATTTTAAATTTTTGACCGTGTGTTTTTTTTTTTTTTTGGCTATTCATACTTGGGATTGCGATGGATCATTGTGGATGGGCAATCTAGAAGCCATACTTACAGTTCCTTGAAAGTGATAAGTGACTGTGTGATTAAGCATTTCTTTGTTAAATCCTTTTCTCCATAAGCTTTTAGTCAGCTATACGTATGCCTCATTGTATGCAGGCTCATGTCATGCTTATCACGTTGTCTTTTGCTTCAATAGGTTGAACCATTGAGGTACTAATTGACATATTCTATTGGATGAAACTTATGCTTCGTGTCTTCTGATGGCGCGTTAGAAATCCATCTTTCCAAGTCTAAGAAATGATCTTTGCGTCCATTGTAACTTCAAGATTTTGGGTTCATTTCCCTTCACAGTGAAGCATAACTATGGTTTTTTTAGCATCACTCTGGAATGGACTCATTAGTTGATGGAGAAATAGACGCATCTTTCTCTTCACATATCTTTGCTGCGTCATGCGTCGCATATATGAGATGCAAATAGGATGACACTCATAAGGATGTTTCTCATGTTTTTGTGTTCACAGATATGTATCAGGCTACAAAAATCGGTTTCAGAATTTTATCAAGTATTTGCGTGAAATGGGAGATGAGGTAAGTTCATGTGCTTCTGCATTCCAAATAAGTTTACTGGGATTGCCTGTGGCAACAAAACTATAGTCACATTACACTAAAGGAAGAACTGATGCTAATCTGGACTGCTAGCTGAATAGAGACGGCAGCACTAGAAGGTGCTTCAGTTGGGTTGGGATTTAGTAATTATCATCAGTTAGTTACACATGCGCGTACTCCTTTAAGCCTTGAGGCTAGAGTTTGGAAGCATAGGAGAACTACTTATTACTCTACCTATTGCTTTTCGCTCAAATTTTGAAGATGTAAGGACTCATTTCCAGTTTGAGAAAATTAAAAAAAAAAAAATTCAAATATTTGAATATTTTGAAAGGTCTAAGGTGTCCTGAGTTGAATAGAAGTCAAAATATGAGAGCCACAAGATTTACAAAATGTAAGAAGTTCAACGTAGAATCCTCTCCAAATAGACCCGCTTCTCATATAGTACTTTCACATGAAAATCTTGTCACTTCTTTAAACACACGATTCATGGTATTCATGAAGGTTTTATCTGTCTTTGGTTATTTCTTCAGTTTCGTATCTGATAGATATTTCTTAATTGATGGTACTGCAGGTGATGGTTGTGACTACACATGAAGGAGTACCTGATGAATTTTATGGGGCTAAGTTGATCGGATCACGGAGGTTGTTATAGTCTTCTAACTTCACATGATTTTCTACCATTGAAATACCTTGTCATCATCCGTGTCCTTTACTGATAGGCATTGTCTAGGTTTTTCTCTGCCTCTGAGTTTTTTCACCTCACCAATCAAATAAAAGGCTTGAAGTGCTAAAATGGATAGCACTCTAGATTCTTTAATTGCATGTTGTAAGGTTCTCATATCTCATATTCCTGAGGAGGAACAGTTAAGAAGCTTTTATGGATTGGGAATATCTCTTATCTATAAAGAATATAAATGGAAAAAAAGGAATGCCATTGCTGTAACACATACCATTTCCATCCATCTTTGTTGCTTTTGTGTTGGTTCTCGCGAGTATAGAAAGAAGGCTAGAGCAGCAAATCTCTATCAATTGTCAGATTTAGTTTGATAACTGTTTACCACCATCCAATGTGGAGCACCTGTAAATTGGAGATGTTGGTGAACAGGCTTTTGTGCAAAAGTCCGTTTGGCTACTTTATAGTACGATAGTTATGTCGAAAAAGTGTGCAAGGATTCGCTGTTCCAATTCTTTTATTTTGCTATACCTGCTTTGAAGAATTTTTCATAAGGTCTAGTTCTCTTTTATCCATTTCCAGTTTCTTCTCCAACTAAGTATCTTGTGTCTTTGTTCCTCTCTTTTCAGCTTTCCTTGTCCTTGGTATCAGAAGGTTCCTCTTTCCCTGGCCCTCAGTCCTAGAATAATTTCAGAGGTTGCGAAATTCAAGCCAGACATCATCCATGCATCGTCACCTGGCATAATGGTAAATGATTAGCCGTTTTTGATTTGTTGGCACATAGATTGAAGAACTTCAAGAAATAACTTATGCATGACGTTGCAGGTATTTGGTGCGCTTGCCATTGCAAAAATGTTATGTGTTCCCATAGTTATGTCTTACCATACTCATGTCCCAGTGTAAGTAAAACTCTTTTTTGATTTGCCACTATTTCCTAAGGTTTGTACTATAATAGTATTTTTTTTCAACTTCTAAGTATGTTCCAATAGAGTTTACTGTCTTGATTGATGTTTCAAGAGTGAACTTGAAACCATCAGGTGTCTTAGTTCTCTTTATTTTTCTCACTGGAAATGACCAGAGTTTGTTTGTTCTCTGGTTTGCACTTTGCAGTTACATACCAAGGTACACATTTAGTTGGCTGGTGCAACCCATGTGGCTGGTAATAAGTAAGTGAGATTCCAAGGGTGCCTGAAAAGGAATCTCTAGGTGCTTTTCCTTAATTGTGTGTGTGACATTCTTCCTTTTCTTTTTCCTTGGTAGAATTTCTTCACAGAGCAGCTGATCTGACTTTGGTGCCATCGGCTGCATTAGGGAAGGAACTCCAAGCTTACAGAGTCACGACAGGTGGGTAAAGTAAATTAACGCTTCGCAAGGACTTAAAAACTCCTAGAGACAAGACCTGCTTGTCGATAGGCACTAAATTAATTTCTTTTGTTAAATTAAAGTAATCAAATGTTGCAATGCAATGGCATGATAGACTGATCTTGTTTTACTATGCTATTATTCAGCAAACAAGATCCGACTTTGGAATAAGGGTGTTGATTCGGAAAGCTTCCACCCTCGTTTCCGTTCTCAAGAAATGCGATATAGACTGAGGTGGGCATTTGAACTTGCTTTTCCCCTCTGCCTTTCATTGATGTGATTTCGTGTATATCTCATTATGGCATATCTGTGATCAGCAACGGTGAACCTGAGAAACCATTGATAGTTCATGTTGGAAGACTTGGGGTTGAGAAGAGCTTGGATTTTCTTAAAAGGTACCTCTTTGTTTTACTACATTTGTTGAAAAAAAATTACCTCATGAAATCATACTGGATATTAACCTGTAAACCTAGTCCTTGCAGTTCTCTTCTTCTATTAAACATTAATGTCAAAAGATGGAATTTTGCGAGATATTTAAGGACCGTCTTTAATATCTTCCTTGGAAGAGTAGATTTGTGACATTTCTTTAGCATATTTTCTAGTCGAAACTAGCTGCTGTTCCTGCTCTTCCTTTTTCATGTAGTTTTTGAAGCCTTGGAATTCTTTACTCTGTGATATGGCAGGGTGATGGACAGGCTCCCTGATGCACGGATTGCTTTCATTGGTGATGGACCCTACAGGTAACTGAATTTCAAGAGTTATTCCCTGCCATTATTGTTTTATTCCTTCTTCGGAATGTTCCTTGGAGATGATGTTCCTTGGATATGATTGCGGCTTATCCAAGCAATTGCATTGATGGGGGAATGGCCATTTTCGAGAATGATAAATTCCTGAAATATGAAACCAAGGACCAACCTAATTGGTATATGAGCATGCACTATTTGACAATCAATGATCGAATCTTGGGCCAGATTCTGTTTTGACCAGATTTGTTGGCTTGATGTAGTTCTAGCAAGTTCGTCCTGCGATGTCACCTAATTGTAGGTGGAAATAAGTTGCTTGATTCCCGTAACAGACATATTGGCTACTTTCTGACAGGGAGGAACTGGAAAGGATGTTCTCTGGGATGCCGGCAGTATTCACCGGGATGCTACAAGGTGAAGAGCTATCCCAGGCGTATGCAAGTGGCGACGTATTCATGATGCCTTCGGAATCCGAGACGCTTGGCCTCGTTGTTCTGGAGGCCATGTCCTCGGGTCTTCCTGTGGTGGCGGCTCGCGCCGGAGGGGTCCCGGACATCATCCCTCCGGAACAGGATGGGAAAACCAGTTTCCTCTTCAATCCTGGAGACCTAGATGACTGCTTGAGCAAACTCGAGCCTCTTCTGCAGAACTGTGAGTTGAGAGAAACCATCGGTAAGGCTGCTCGTAAGGAGATGGAACAGTACGATTGGAGGGCGGCCACACGCAAAATCCGCAACGAGCAATACAATGCGGCCATCTGGTTTTGGCGCAAGAAGAGGGCGCAGCTGCTCAGGCCAATTCAGTGGCTAGCGAAACGGCTCTTTCCGTCGCCGGAAGCGACGTACAGGTGATGATGATGACCGCGATGATGCCTCAGTTGTAACGTTTGCATTTGTGACACTCTGAAGAAGGCATTTGATCTGTCTGGTGATGTATCCGTAGTGTCCTTTTGTTTGGGATATGTTCATTTGTTGTATAATGGGGGGGGGGGGGGGCGACCATAAAGTCGTGGTCATTTGTGACATCAAAATTTATCAACAAGGATGTCATCTCAGTTTGCAATTCCTTTTCTTTTTTCTGTTGCCCCTTTATGTCTCTTTGACATTGCTCAAGATGGTCCGCTCCGCTCAAGATGGCAGGCTCCGGTGAAGTCGAACACGAGAGAGCTCAGCTCTATCATTGTGCTGTGGCTGAAGGTGTGGTTGAAGGCGTTTCAATGGTACATTGAACTCTCGTGAAAGATTTTACGCTGAAATCGAACAATGCAAAGGAGGCCAACTAGAGTGTGCCTGGAAATCATACGTATGGCTCGTACGATTCATTTCCTTTTCTAATCAGATATTGCAACTTCAGAGCAGACTCTGATGGATATATGTTGTTGCTAAGATGACATGCTGGACTAATCGCATTCTTCAAGAATCGTGTGAAACCAATGTAAGATGTTAAGGTCCGTTTGTCGCGCCGATGACATCGTAAGATCGCATGAGAATCGCTGGGCACGAACTAAGGATAATAACTTAAAACGGCAATTAGCTAGAGGAAAAATAGAGGTTATTCCTGATTTAATGCTGGTTCCTAACGACCGTAGGCAGTAGACCTTAGAGGTGCATGTTATGCACAATGATATTGAGTTCGAAACATACACAATTTTTATGGAAAAACAGTATGTATTTAGTATGGCGGCATTATCTTTAGATCATTAAACTGTTGGTGAACCGTATCTAAGTTGCTCTTGAAAATTAATCTATGTGAATGTTGTACAAGAGAAGGTACTTAAGATTTCACGCATGGTGCAAAAATTAAGTCGATTGAACTCTGGAGATTTGCGATAAATTATCTTTTTTTATCACTTTTTTTTTGGGTCGAAATGTACTTTATTTGATTAAACTAAGAATAAACGGAAGGGCCCAACCAGCGGCCTTCAATGCATTATAGATCACAAAGGGCTTGGGTTGGGGGGGTTGGTGGTTTTCTCCTTTGGGCTTTTGCTACCTAGTTAGTAAGCTACCGGAATGTCTGAAAATTAAAGTAACATATCATTTCATTCAATGATAAGCACGCGTACCTCCCATGAGGAATGATTGTTGGAACGCGAATCTTTGAAGAGAAAAAATAAAGAAGAAAATAAGCGAATTTTTACGTGAAAGAACCCTTTCAAAATCAAAAAGGGAAAAGCCACGGTGCCGTACTAGATAATCTCTCCACTATCAGTATCGGTATCCGCATTACAAGTTTCAGCGTTACAACTATAAAAGATATTGTCTCAATATATACGACAGGAGTTTAGGGCATTACATGCCATTAACAGCAATAAAAGCTCCATTTTTGCTTTAACATGAAAATTACATGTATACAATTAGTAGGATGGGTAACCTCTTGGGAAAATGCCTGCATACAATAATTGTTTCTGTGCGTGAATATTACTTTTCTCTATCAGACTTCACAACTCCATCAATCTCCAACTTGGAGACTGATGTTCAAAAGATCAATAATTTTTCATAATCTTCATTCGTCTTTGTAACTCAAATTGTCCTAATGCGGCGGCCCCCTTATCACTAACCATGGAGGTCAACTGAGGCAAAACTAAGGTAATGCACAACCTCAACTTTTCAACGGTGACAACCTTTGTTAACATATGTGCTGGATTTCTGCACCAAGAATCTTCTTCAATGGCAATATCTCATCATTTATTAGCTGACGAATATGATGGTAGTTCAACTCAATATGATTTGTCCTTGAATGAAATACCGGATTCTTTGCAAGATAGATAACACTCTGACTGTCATTGTAAAGAACACTGCTATCCTACTCTTTGTCTATCTTCTTCAAAAAAAATCTCAATCAAATAATCTCATTACTAGCTTCAAATATAGCAACATACTCTGCCTCAATGGTTGAGAGAGAGACAAGTCTGTAGTCTAGACATCCAACTGATTGTAGTACCATCTAAAGTAAAAAACATAACCCGAGGTGCTCTTCCTATTATCCAATATCCAAGTCACCACCAAGATTTGCAACAACAAAACCTTGTAAAGTTACACCGTTTTCGTAAAACATAATGACATACCTGACTTTACAGCTTCCTAATGCTTTATTCTTGGATTAGTCATGTATCTGCTCACAACTCCCACTGTGTGGGCTATGTTTGGTCTAATACACACCACAGCGTACATCAAACTGCTAACAGTTGACGCATAAGGTATCTTAGCCATATACTCCCGTTCTTCATCCGTCTTTAGAGACTGCTTCTTTGAGAGCTTGAAGTGACTTCCTAAAGGAGTCCTTCTAGGCTTTGCATTTTGAACTCCGAATCTATCCAGCATCCCTTCGATGCTTGAGATAACTTTAGAATTCCTTTGGATCTATCCCGCGTGATCCTCATCCCAAGAATCTGATTCGTTGCACCCAAGTCCCTCATCTGAAATCTTTTGACAATTGCTGCTTCAATATGTTGATCTCCCTCATGTTAGATCCTACAATGAGCATATCATCTATATACAACAACAAAATTATATAGCAGTCATCAAATTTTTCAAAGTAAGAGTAGTGATCTATTTCACTTCTAGACCTATTACCATACATAAATGTATCAAATTTCTTGTATCACTATTTAGGAGACTGTTTCAAGTCATATAGATTTTTCTTCAATTTGCAGACATAATTTTCTTTTCTAGGAACTTGAAAACCTTATGGTTGTACCATATTGATTTCCTCCTCTAAATTACCATAGAGGAATAACATCTAACTGTTTTAGATGTAAATTCTCAGTAGCAACAATACTCAACACTAGCCCGATAGTAGGCAATTTCACAACTGGAGAGAAAATCTTTGTGTAGTCAATTCCATTCTTTTGTTGAAAACCTTTTACTAGCAACCTTACTTTGTACCTTTTGCTACCATCAGGTTCTTCTTTGACCCAGTACACCCAATTGTTCTGCAATGCCTTCTTCCTATCTGGTAACTGAGTTAACACCCAAGTTATGTTCTTCTCGTGTGAATCTAACTCATCCTGCATTGCTAACTCCCACTTAACAGAATCATTAATCTAAATTGCTTCCGAAAAATTTTCTAGTCCGCCAACGTTAGATAAAAGTAAATAATGCAATGACGGAGAATACATATGTACAGGTTTAGATGTTCTACTAGATCTTCTTAAAGTGGGTTTAGGTGTATATAATTTTTGTTCTGATATTTTATCAGAGTCTACAGCAACTTCAGGATTTCTAACTAGAACACCTTTTGAAATCCCCTCTAGTTACATCTCTCTAGCCTCCACCGTTTGCTTCTTCGCACTATATTCAATCACAGATCTGTCCTTGTACAACATTTTCATCGAATGTAACATTAACAGATCTTATTATTTTCCTAATTTGTTCATCCTAGAACCGCTAGCCAAAATAATCAGAACTTTATCTAATGAAAAAACATTTTTTAGCTTTTGCATCAAGCTTATCTCTATTTTCAAAATCTACGTGGACATATGAAACACAACAAAAAACTTTGAGATGCGAGAGTTTCCCCTTCTTTCCACTCCATTCTTCTTCTGGTTGCTTGAAATCAAGTGGAACTAAAGGTCTTCTATTGATCATATATGCTGTTGTGTTAATTGCATCTGCTCAAAACGTCTTGGGCAATCCTGCATGCATCCTCATACTTCATGCACGCTCATTCAAAGTTCTGTTCATTCTTTCAACAATTCCGTTTTGCTGAGGTCTATTAGGAACAAATCTTATTATTCTGATTTCGTTCTCTGCACAAAACCGCTTGAACTCCTTGCTATCATACTCACCATCATTATCGGACCTTAGACATTTAATCTTCAGATCAGTCTCATTCTCCACTTTAGCTTTCCATCTTTTAAACGTAACAAAAACATCAGATTAATTTTTCAGAAAGTAAAACCCATACCTTCCTTGTGGAGTCGTCAATGAACGTGACATAGTAGCACGAGCCTCCAAGGGCATGCACAGGGGCTGGCCCCCATACATCTGTATGCACCAACTCTAATTTTCCTTTTTCTGGTTCTCTCACAATCTTCAAAAAACCGACGCGTTTTTGCTTGCCCAGAACACAATCTTTACATGAACCAATACTATGGACTTCAAATCAGGTAGTTTTCCCTTGGATGCTAACAATTTCACCCCCTTTCCACTCATGTGTCGAAGCCTGTGGTACTGCAATTTAGAATCAGCTTTCGATGCAACAACTGCTACGGTTTCTCTACTGCTATAAGTTATGTACCTCATTATGTTTCCCGTGCTACAACCAAAACACCTTTAACTATTTTTCAAGAGTTATCCCAAAAAATAGTTCTATGTCCTGTGTTGTCTAATTAACTCATAGAGATCATATTTCTCTTAAGTCCTGGAACATATTTGACATCATGCAACTTCCATTGATACCCATTAGTAGCTTTAATGTTAACATCACCCTTTCCCATGATATCCAAAAGTTCATCATCAGCAAGATAAACCTTTCCAAACTTTCTAGCAACAAAATTGTGCATTAATTCTTTGCACGAAGTAAAGTGAAACGATGCACCTGAGTCGAGAATCCAAGACTCAATTGGACTGTCAACGCGCAAAATTAAGGCATCACTCTCATGCGTCTCTTCAAGAGTTGCGTTCACGGATTTCTCTTCTTCTTGATTTTGATCTTGATACTGAATTTTCTTTGGGGCTCTACCATCTCGTTTCATATGGCCCTTTTTTTTCGCAATTCCAACAAATTATTTCACCACATGGTCTTGATTTGCTTCTCCCTCTAAACTTTGATCTACCACGATACTGGTTCCACCCTCGTACGTTGCTTCTCCTTTAGTCTTCGGTATTTAAGGCAGCATCTGAAAATTCACTCAACTCTCTTCTGCGAATATCCTCGTTAAGAATCAAATCTCAGATTGCTTGAAACTTCAACTTTTTCTTACCAAACGAACTGCTTACTACAGTCACAGTTGCACTTCAACTTTTAGGTAGACAAGATAATAAAATTAAAGCTTTTATCTTGTCATCGAATTTGATATTCACCGAACTCAGCTAAGTCGTGATCACGTTAAATTCGTTGATGTGATTTGTCACGGCAGCACCTTCGTCCATCTTTAGATTTAAATGACTATGCATCAAATATACCTTGTTTGATGCGGAGGGCTTCTCGTACATGTTGGACAATGCCCCTTCAAATCCACCATTGCCATCTCATTGGCAATGTTGAAAACAACGTTCCACGCCAATGTGAGACGAATCACACCTGGAGCTTGCCCATCTAACAATTCCCACTCTGCTTGTTCCATCGAATCTGGTTTCTCTCTTGATAGAGGTTGATGTAAGTTTCTGATACTTTAGATCCTTGATTTTTTTGTTGGTAAGGTAATTAGATCCTTGATTTGCATCTTTCATAAACCAAAATCCTTACCATTGAACCAATCGATCTTCACCTTCCCTTCATCCATATTCGCCACTCCCACTATTTTGCCAAACCAGGCTCTGATACCAGTTGTTAGGAATGTGAATCTTTGAAGAGAAAAAATAGAGAAGAAAATAAGCGAATTTTTACGTGAAAAACCCTTTTGAAATCAGAAAAAAAAATCACGGTGCCGCACTAGGCAATCTCTCCATTATCAATATCGTTATCATCATTACAAGCTTTAGCGCTACAATTACAAAAGATATTGCCCCAATATAGATAGCAGGAGTCTAGGGCATACATAGTTATGATGGAAAATTATATGTATGCTATTAGCAGCAGTAAAAGCTCTATTCTCTACTTTAACATGAAAATTACATGTATGTCATTAGCAGGATGGGTGATCTCCTAGGATAATGCCTGCATACAACAACTGATTTTGCGCTTGAATATTACTTTTTTGTATCAGATTCCACAACTCCATCACTGATTCGTGCTTTTCAATGCCCTCATCAGTTTGAGACTATTTGACTCAATTAAGATGGACTTGTGCTTTCTAAAGATGCATTGCTTCAGGGTTTGAAGGAGGGCTAGGATTTCTGCTTGTGTAGCTGAGGAAACTTTCGCAAATCTATCAAGAAGCCCCCTTGAGGAATCACTTTAGTTGTTTACGTTCCTTACCAAAAGGAAGGAAACGATTGTCCTCTTTAGGGGTTCACTAAAAAAAGTCAATGATCTAAATCGGATCCAGTATGAACAAGAACAACCTGAATCAAGGAAATCCGTATATTAAGTAATTCCAAAATAAACAACTCAAATTCAATATCAACCCAAGTCCGAAGTAAACCAAACTAAAAATAACCGAAACGCAATGCAACCGATAGATTTGACCCAATTGACTTCGAAAGCAAAGAAAAAGAAGCCAACCACGCAACATCAGCAACCCGGTCAAACCCACAATTGAGCAATATTCAAATAGGACCCGACCCGACCCCTCATAGCAATCTTGATGAAACACTCAGTAGCTAAGAAGGCGCCAGTGTAAGATGCCCTTTAGTTTGCTTCTTTCTCTCTCTTCGGAATGTTAGATGAGATTCATGGCCAACATGAACTCGAAAGGTCGAGCAGCCTGATCGCCACGACCCCCTTCTCCTCGAGTGAGTGAGCTATTCGTGTGAGTTCTTGGAAGTAATATGCGGTAGCTTGGAGGCTATCAGTTTATAGTTTCATCATGGCTCTTTTGGAGTAATTCCTTTAAGCTTTCGCGTTGGGGACATAATGAAATCATATCGGATGCTCTTTTGGCCTGTGTCATGATCTCATGGGGCAATGTCACCAACTTACCACCCAATACATCCCATTCCCATTCTGTCCAAAATCACACAAAATGTGGCATCAAAAGGACTTGCTGTAATTCGGCTGAGCCAAAAAGACAGACCCAAATCTATCTCTTTGCCCTCCGATGTCCCCAAAAACTACGCTTATACCCCCAGAGTTTGACTCTGGTTGACTTGACTCAGGTCTAAAACGTGTGGCCGACAGTGCTTGTGCTCGATCATAGATCATATTCTTGGAAACGTCAAGCCCCATGATCTGTAGTCTCCTAGGTATTCTCGCGACTCGTGAGTCGTGGCACCTGAAACATCTTGGACTCTGGATGGATGAGTTTTGGGCTTCGACTTTCACGTACAAAACAGTGACAAGACATTTCACGGCATCTTCGCCTACCAAATTCTTGCCTTGGTTACCATCGGCCATCTCGTCATTTCTGTCTCCAACCTGTCCATCTGTTCTTTGTCCTGTTTCATGTTTCCTCCGTCTCTATAATCCCACCTTCGAATCTTGCATTCAATTAGACCCATCCTAGAGCTCATGCAGTAACCTGCAATCTTTGGCCTGCTCTCTTTCCTTGCCTGTTCCGACATGGGCTCGAGCCGCGGGTCACATGGCTCGGGGAAGGAGCGGTTGCGCTGGACACAAGAGTTGCATGACCGGTTCGTGGCGTCCGTGGAACAGCTCGGTGGCGCCGACAGTAAGTCTCCCACGTTGCCGTTAGCAATTAAATAAGTGCATGAAATAACTTATAGCTTTTGGCCACCCCTTTCAACTCATATCGGGTCATCCTTTGCTGTTCGTTGGAAAATCATTCTCATATACACGTCAAAATTGTCGGGGGGGCTTTTGTTAAACTCAGATGAAACAGAGTCGATGTCGATCGTTGGTTGACAATCATCGTCAGTCGTTCATGAAACACAAAAGTTGGTGTTGATTTTATGGTGTTTGATGGTGTTCTTTTGCATCTTGGAGGGGCTACACCAAAGGGAATCCTGAAGGCTATGGATGTCACCGGACTCACCATCTACCATATCAAAAGCCACTTGCAAGTCTGCCATCTTGCCCTCTCTCTTCATCTCGTTTTACATTACATCTCATCGATCATGAATCAAGAAATAGTATAATTTGCATTAACTCGTTTGAAAACTCATCCTAGCTGTATTTTCCGAAGTTATTTTTCCTACGTCACATTACTTAACACTTCATCTATATCTTGTCCGTGGTATTCACATGACTTTCTACATGCGAGGGGAAATTGATATATATGCAAAGTATGTAGTACACCTTTTCTTTTACATTTATATTTATATTAACGGATACAATCTTGGGTAGTGAAAGCAACGTAACTCGTGCGATGATGAAATATTCTCGATTTCAGAATAACATAAGACTATTCAAAATTAAAATCAAATACTTGCCCATTCAGTCTTATGATGTTATTACAGAATAGAGATCCCTAAAATTTAGCCGTGCATTTATCCCGTTACATGATTGATAGATTTTGAAGGGTTTCGGTTTATTTTTTGTAATTACCTTTTGAACTTAAGGAGTGAAAGAACAATACTCGTTGTAACCAAGGGTGGTGAAACATAAGTATTGTCTCTTCTAATAGTGTATGTAATTTCTTAACTTCCTCGACAATATCACCAATGACTTTTCTTTTTTCTCGCTATTATATTGCAGAAGTACAGGATGACAACGCTAATTTCGGAGAAACCTACCAGTAAGTGCGCAACAATATCCACTTAGAAAATTTTTGGAAACTTACCCACTTTGTAAAAATCGAAAGCTTCTTAATATGATCTCTCTCTCTCTCTCTCTCTCTCTCTCAGAGAAGTTTGAAAGGCGAAGCATTTCCGAAATATTTCCTAATTTTAGTGCTACATGGTAAGTAAATTCTGCAGCACATATACCGCTTCAGTAATTACAAGAAATGTTTTTCTTCAATTCGTCGTTCATTGTTGCAGTGGTGCTCAACTTAAAGAAGCCATCAGACAAGTTCAAATGAACTATCAAGCACGATTAAGTGACCAAGACGAGGTATGGAGACAAGCGTTATATGAATATAGATGGAGGATCAAATCACAGATATAATAACATACTTAACCCATTTGAGCATGACTATAATAGTTTCTTGTCTATAAAGATTCAAAAGAGATAATGTTGAGGTCCACCGATAGCGTGAAAAAATCCCCACATTTTAAGCATTGCATAATTTGATGTCTAGGGTCAAAATTTCATAATTGCTAATAAGTTTTCTTTCCGTCTGAACAGGTTCAGAAGAACTTAAGGCTCAAAATAGAAGCACAAGGGAGATATTTCCAGAGAATGATGGACGAACATTACAACGTCCGGCCATCGACTGTCGGGACGAGGCCAAGCAAGCCAAGCTTCCCCTCCATCTCGTTGCCCTCACTCTCAGAGGAGTCCGAGTCACTCGTCAAGGAAGCCGACTCCGACTCGGAAGGTCCCGAGGAAGTACTAATTAGAGCTCCAAAGAGGCCTAGGACCTCCCAAGACTGCGACTCTGATCCGAACATTTGCAACTACTCTGCGATCGTCGCGAATAGTGGTCTGTCGTACGATCTCGGTGACATCAGCTTTCTGTGGAATCTTGCATCATGCCCATCTCCGGTGTTGATGCCAAGCTTCATGTGAGATTTTGGAGAGATAAGTATCAACTCTGCTAAATAAGAAGCATATATATGTGAAAAATTAGAGCATAGACCGACATTGTAACAAAAATTTTACACATACAGTCTTATTCACCCTTGATGTAAGGGTTAGTGAGAGAGCGTGCTGGTAAAATTCTCAAATCAAGGGTGAACAACACCGCCCGTGTAACGTAGTAAATAAAACTCCACCTTGGAAGTGTTCGGTCGTCATGATTTGTGTGATTTAGGAGAAGATTATGGGGAAACATTATGTGATTGTCATATATATGGAATCTGATTTTTTCCTATTCAGTATTCATGATAGCCGTAAATCTTAGTTTTATTTTTTTTTATAGTGAAAGGGCTACTAATTTGCTGCTTAGTCATAAATGTAATTACAGAATTAAAAATTGGTAATGGATATTTGTTGATTAGAAAGTAATGAGGAAAACATATTTGCTCACACTGCCTTCAATACATTGGACAAGGATATAGAATCTACTGTTTCATTAACAAAAACGATTTTTTTTTTCTGTGGTGATAGATTTTTAGAAAAGTTCGAAAATGTAAAAAACTATTCATAAAAGAAACACCGGGCATCACTTGATTTTCCGGTGACTTATTGGCAAATTATCCATACTTTTAAGAAATGATCAACCTTTTTAATAGTTTGAATATTTCAAATTTTCTTATGTTTTACTAATTTTTATTTGTCTTTTTTACAACGTCTTAAATTTACTAATTCTTATATGAATTTATTGATCTTTGTCTGAGTGACCTATGAACTTCTTCTTATTACATTTTCATTAATTTGCAATCACTAACTCTCATTAGAGTTACTTACAAACATTTTTTTTTTTAAATTTATCAATTTTTGTTACCTTTTACCAACTTTTATTTGTCTTTCTTGCAAGTGCCTCAATTTTATCAACTCTCAGATGAATTTACTGACATTATTTTCTTGACTGACCAGTTTTTCTCTGGGTAGATTACTAACTAGTTTTGATCTACCAACTCTCATTTGAGTTTTCGACAAAAAAAAAAAACTCTAATTTGAGTTGCTTACCAACTTGTACTTGATTTTTTTGTTTATCGACTTATATTTACCTTATTTATCACCCATTAAATTTACGATTTCTTTCTAGAAATTACCAACCTTAGTTAAAGTGATCAACAACTTTTCTCCCATGAAGTTACAAACTCATTCCTTTTCGCATTGCCAACTCTTATTTGAGTCAATTACCCCGTATATTATTAACTTCTTTTATCTGTGAAAAGAAGTCTCCTTTTATATTTTATATTATATTTATCTTTCCTATCAATGCCTTAAATTTAGCAACAATTAGATGAATTTACCAGCAACTGTTTGAGTAACCTACAAACTTTTCTCTATTAACTGTTACTTGAGTTGATTACCAACGTTTATATATTTTCTCAAATTTACCATCTTCTCTATTGAGTTATACTATTTTTTCTTGCTTACCTTTTCTTGGATTTAATTTTATCAAAAAGTGCCCCTCGTGCCCCTGACACTTATTAATGTTGTAGCGTTTCTAGAGGTGAACTACAAGGAGAAAGCCAATGGATTACTAAACAAATACTTAGTGCGGGCTCCTTCCAGCCCATATGAATCCCCACTCTAGGATTTTGATTTAATCAATTTAACATGCAATTTAATTCAATTAGGAGTCTCTATTAATCTATTATGGATCGATTAGGAACTCAAGTAAAATGTGGGAGAACATTTACATTTACGAACTAGAGATATTATGGATATAGAGATTTGGTTACACAAGATAAATATAACTCCCTTTCGATACATTTTCTCTTTATTTCAAAAATATTTTGCAAGCAATCTTGGCCAATTTCAATCCTAAACCACTAACATGTAAAGGTGATCATATGAGTGCATAGATAGTAATTTAGCACTCAATTAATCAAAGAAATAAATAAATTGCTCAAAGGAATAAGGAATTTATGTGGGTTTATTACTACTAAATGCTCCTAATATGCAAATAGCAATTTTCTTGTTTAGGTGTCGGGATCGTCTCTTAGTTTTCTTATGACTAAATGGTGAGTCGCCAAAATTTAAATGTCAACAATTAAGCAACCAAATAAGGAAATATTGCAATTTCCAAAGCATTGAGTGTCTTCGTGATATGCGCAATGAATGCTTTCACAATTGAATATTTCCTCATCAAGTATGGTTAATAAGTGCTTAGGGATCGAGCACTCATTAACATGACCATTTAACAATTTCCAACCTTTCTTTGCTTGAGTTAGCAAATAATTTTGCATTCTCAACTTTTATTTAAATTTATGATAACTATTATTTGATTTTTTTCAACATACCAACTTTCCTATATGGTTACTTCATTGGATTGAGGGGGTGACGACTACCCCAGCCTCGATCGAGGTTGCCACGGCTGTAGGAGACCTTGATTAAGGTCGACGATGATGGTGCTATCTCGATCTTAGGTCGCAGTAGCCACGACCTGTAAGAGACAGATAAAGAGCCAGAGAGTTGCAAAGGCAAGAGAGTGAGCTAGAGAGATTTTCTACTCCGCGCCACACTCCGACTTCTTATGATAGCCACGCCAGCTAAATTTGATTGGATGTTTTTGCTTTAGGGACTTGATTAAACATATTGCAGAAGAATTGGATTAAACAAATTGAAAGTATATAGACTCAATAAGAAAAGAAAAACAAGTACAAGGAGGTAAAGTGAAAAGTGAAATGAGAGAGCGCCTTCATAAAGTACATGTGCAAGCCAGTGTTTAGCTTTTTGATGAGACATTCAGATTGGGCTAATGGGCCAAGGTCCAATAAGCTAAGTCTATTGGATTCACGTGCATAGAATCATCTGGGGGTTACAAGTCTTCTCAGCCTTCTGTTTAGCTTTTCCATGAGACAGTTGGTTTGGGCCAATGGGCCAATGTCGAATAAACCAAGTCTATTTGATTCGCGCGCATAAAATCATATGCGGGATGGAAGTCTTCTACATACACCAAGGTCAACCATTTTTGTTTCCTAGATTTTTATTTTCTTAGGAGGTTCATGCACGCAATAAAGGAGAATTCAGTCATTTTCTCCGGTCCCAAGAACCGAAATTACTCCATGTAATACTTGTATATCTATGCCGGTCGAAAGTGAAATCACTCACTCGGACTAACACCCATATGTTGATTGATATGCTCATTGGTTTCACACGTTACTCAATTTTTGGAGAATCTCTACTTTTCACGTGCACTAGAGCACTCACCCCACTTCTTGTAAGCATGGGTCAAGGCCATTATGGGCGGCCCAAGCAAAAAAGCCCAACTTCTCCCGTTCGCACATGATGGGTTCGATGCAAGTCATGCGACTTGCGGGTACACATGCATTAAGCTTACTATACCCTGGTTAGGGTTGCATAGAAGACACAATAAACAATTTTTCCGTGTCCTAGACCGAAGTTATTGCATCAGTGCAAGCACCTTTAATCCCTCAAAAAAGCGTGCTCGACTCTACTATACATTAACAATCAGGTCACAACCACTTAAGGTAGACATGACTGGTCGACCGGTGAATACATGTACCAATGTAACCCACAGGTAGTTTAGTGTTTGGATAAATGTTTACCAAGCTAATATCCTCATCTTCCTCGTTTTATTTTTCTGATTTTCGGATAAATGTTTCTTTGGTTGTGGAAAAATTAGCAAAATGCCTATTTACTGTTTGCTTTTCAGGAAAAAATTCGTATTTCACTTGGAAAAACAAAAGCGATGTCAAATTTTTTTTATTTCTCCATCCGGTTAAAGTTACTAATTTCATTATCAAAGCATTACGACATTGCATGAGAAATGAAATAAACGCGCCCGCGCATAGAACAAATGCCCCGCATGAAGCGCGAAGAAAGCTGCTAGTAGTGTTATAGTCGACGAGAGAGCACGCCCAGATATCTCTCTTCTGTTCATAAGTTTCTTACAAAAATGAATCTCTTCCTTATGGTCAATCCACATGACTCACGATGTTCTGGACGATAGTGGCCTGAAAGTGAGATTGTCCAATTCGTACGTCTTTTGGATTCGCACACAACAAACGTGAGTCAAATATATTGAAGGTTGCCTTTGTTGATTCATTGGCATTAAACCCTAAAGTCCAAGTCCAAGTCCAAGGTGGTAATATTTATTTCTTCTTTTATATGGTTTGCAATGAGGACCACGAGCATGTGTTTTGGACCTTTCCTTTTAGTTTCTTCTAAAGACAAAAGAATGGTTGAAGAAAATCAAAAGTGCTCTCGCACGACAATATGTAGGACCATTAATTTGCCAAGCAAACTGGACCGGTAGAAACAGAAGCTCTTCATGCATTTTTCAGGTTTGTGAATAGATGGTGATGAGGACAACAAAGCGTTTCCTTTTAACGTGATATTTTTACTGCCTTTAAAACTTTGTATTAAGACAGAACACCTTTAAGTCAAAGAGATTTCCTTAAAAGCAAATAGTGTTTGGTATGAGTGAAACACTCGTTCCAAAGCAACTTAAAAAAAATAACAAACAAGGATATGAACGGCTGGTGAGGCGGCCCGTATCGTATGCCTAATCTCTACGCACGGCTCGTATCGTATGCCTAATCTCTACGCACAATTTCTAAATGCAATGGTTGGAATGAGATCATAAACATGACAATTCTTAATTTTTTACAATAATGATTTTTAACTGTGCAGGTTGGCAATTGGAAAATATATATATTTTTTTGGTCGGTGATTGGGAGAGTCTAAAAAATTCGTGATGAATAGCAATAGCCACGTTATTGTAACCATCCGCCTTGTCCACGTCTCTATCGCGCTCCATTATGCACTCTTGGGTCTTAGTCTGCTTTTTACTCGATGTTTGGAACTTTTGGACTGCCGACGTGCTCATGTTTGGAACGAGACGAAAAATCAATAGGAGCCTGAGATTTGAAATTGTGAAGGTGTTAACTTTACGTGGTGATCTCAGTGAAGAAATTAAATGGAGATAA